GCCACCGCTGGGCGAAAAACATTTACAAATTTCCAATAAATAACAATATTTTATGACAGCCACTGCCTAACTACATTTAGTATAAGTGTACTGTTTATAACTTATTTATATTGTACTATAAAATGGAACATAAGGCTGCATGTGTTTTTGGTTTAAAAAAAAAATATATAGTGAAATACATTACAGTATTCATTTTTTATATATATTAGGCCTATTTTCTTATGATAGTAAATATCATATCATAAAATAAATGTGAATATTTATTTAATATGAATGTTCATGTTGCTATGAAACTATTGAAATGTTTATTTTTATTTTGTCATCCGATCTGAAACAGTCGACATTTGAACATGCCTGTGAACTCATCCCCTTATGTAATATTGACCTCTCGTCTTTGCCTTCTCCTCTCAACCAATCATCAACGAAAATCGTCAACTCTAATAGTCAATGCTGATTGGCTGACAAATCCTTTTCATTCTCCAGGTCTCTTTCTTTTGTTTTTTAGGACGTCTTTCAAAGCGGATTAGCTTCAGCTTACTCTACATCAAAAGTAAGGAATACGAATCGCAAAGTATAATAATATCTATTAGACCTGTTATGGCTCTAAACATATTTTATTCATGCACTGAATTAAAATTTTTGTACTTTGGCCATAACCCAAACAGCCGCCGCATCCTCACATAAGGCCTACACTTCTTGGCCTCACGAAACTCGAGTGCAGCCGCAGCGTGCTTGAACTCAAGTGTAGCGACTTTCTTGCTTGGCTGACAGAACACCAGTTTTATCTGGCTTGTTATGTTAATAATGTATACATTTGTGCAACATCCAAAATAATAGGCAAATCCTTGTTTTCATCATTTTTGGGGAATCATCAATCGCTTCCACTATTAATTTGTTCTTTCTTTGTTTACTGTACGGTATTCAATGTTCTTTGTTATGTTATGTTTGATAGATTGAATTTAAATATTTGTTTTTATTTCTCCTGCATTGTTTATTTTTCTTATATTTATTTGAATTCGTGCAAAGTCGACTTAGGCAAGTTTATATATATGTATATATATATATATATATATATATATATATATATAATGGTAATGATGTCCTGTGATCATTTTTCATTCATGAAATTCAGGTTTTTACCTAAGGGTGGAGAGGGTTGGGATTGGGACTGTCCATGAAAAGAGGACAAATAATATAATAAATATATAATAATGTATAAGATAATAAATATATTATTGCTAACATTGGACTTTTTTATGTTTCTATTTTTATCATTTTTTTAACACATGCTACCTAGCTTTGCACTGTAAACATTCTTTTTCAAAAATTTATGTCATAATGTTGGGGTTTTTTTTTATGAGAAGATACTGTCAAATATAAGTGGACACGAAAGCTATTAGAAAGGATTGGCGCTTCCCCAGCTAGAGTATTACAATATTAATCTATTAATTCTTGTTCATGTGTGTGTTTCTTTTGAAGAGTTATAATTTTTTTAAATTTTTTTTCAGTGGGATACAAATTGACTTACTTCGCAATCCAGGGTATGTACTGTAAAAATCATAATAAACCAACCATATTAATTTTAATAATGTAGTGGCCTATGCCTACTATAAGAATTAATGTTTTCTTAATGTATAGGTGAAATGAAATCTTCATACATATTTAATATTATAAATTGTCGGCCTGAAAGATGTGTTGTCCCATAAAATATACCAACAAATATCGCAAAATCTTTTTTAAAATGAAGTAACATGAAAATTGTCAACATGAACATAGAAATTACTGAATTCTAAAAAATGTTTACTCATAATTTTTCAGAGGAAAATGATAGAAACATTTCCATTGACTAGAATAGAAGTGTTTATTTTTATCATTATGAAGTATAAAAAAAAGCCAGGGTAAATATTTTTTATATTCAGTAATTTCTATGCTCAAGTTAATAATTTGTATGTTACTACAAAATGAGCAAGTTAATTTCAAAATTATTTTTATTATGACTTTTGACATTTTCAGAGGACAATACTTCTTTAATAATAAAGTTTTATTATGACTTTTATTATTATTACACTAAATTTTTACAGTACAGTAGTAGATAAACAGATTAGGCAATTTGCATAAATTGTTGTATATCTGTCGGTTTGCCAGAATATTTACATCTTTAATGTTAAACTGTACCGTAAGACCTTGAATAGAAGATCAATAGGCTTAATCTGGAGAAGAAGCCTATCTCAAATTGAAGCCCCCTCTTTAGTTAGCAAAATTAGCTCTGAAAAGACTATAAGAGAAAAGAAGCCTGTGGGCTTATTGAGATAGTACAGTACATACACGGTACATAAATTTAAAATAAACAAAATAAATTAAAAACATGTTTGGTTACAGTAGATTAGGTGATTAATGCCTGTTAATACACTCCATGATACAGACTGATGTTATAGCAGCCCTTTATTGTTTTAATAATAATAATAAGATTTTTATAGCGCTTTTCCAGAAAAGATCAAAGCGCTTCCTCACAAGAACAACTTCAGAAATACAAAAGATTTCACAATAATTAAAGTAATTTACAATATAAAAGTAGTAAAATTAAACCTATAGAAAAAAGCAATTATAAAAAAAAAATGGCAAGTGACAAAATGGTTAACAATAATGGAGAAATTAAGTTGCAATTATTAAATTCTTTACAATTCAGAAAAATACTAATAATAATTAGTTATTTACATTAATAAAAATTAAAAAAATATATAAAAATTCCAAAATCTACTAATCTATCTAAAACTAAATTCTAAATTCATTATGTTAATTCTTTACACTTGCCTGATAGCGCTTAGAGACTTTTTGTATTTTGCGCTCTATAAATTAAAAACCATTAACCATTAACCATTATGTAAAATAAATTAATATCAACAAAAATAATTACTTTCCAAGTTTATATAAATATAATATATATAAAAGTTACCATTAAAAGGGTAAAATACTTATTGTAATTAAGATAATTATTAAAGAAAATTCAAACATTCAAAAACAGAATATTCAAAATTCAGTATATACAGTTAATATTTACAATTTTGGAAACAAATGAGTTTTAATGACTTTCTTAAGTGGTTCGATAGATGTTAGTTCTCGAATCTATTGTGGGAGAGCATTCCAATACACAGGACCAAATTTTATAGTAGTAATTACCACATTTTACAGCATTCATTTTAAAGAGCCCCATCTTTACTTTGCAAAAGTTGCCTCAAAAAGAAGCCCATCTAAACATCACAAAAAAAAAAAAGAAGCCCAGGGCTTCTATTCAAGAATGTGGTAGCATAAAGCTCAAAGGACAATGATGTATTATATATTACAACTTGCATTTTCACTGTTATACCAGTCTTAAAAAAGGCAATTCCTAATTCTAATTTAATGTTACCATGGATTTGATTTGGATAAATAACATCCAATAGTCTTAAAAAAGGCAATTCCTAATTCTAATTTAATGTTACCATGGATTTGATTTGGATAAATAACATCCAATCAGAAGTAAGTATTGATATAAAACTTTGCCCCAGTCGCCACTGCCAATTTTATCTTTTTTTAGGACGTGCTGAGCCGATTCGTCTGCTTCTCCTTGACAACGGTGTTGATTTTGAAGATGAATTGCTAACAAGTGCAGAGTTCCAACCATTAAAGCCGAAACTGGTAGGTTCTTGGAACCTGTCCTGAGGGTCAATCATACTTAACAAATGACCAATCATAACAGGACCCAGAATATGCTTTTTATCCCACAAACACTTATGTGTTGACCAACAAATGCCATGTCGACATATGTTATAATAATGTGTAATATATATGTGTTCTATTTTTTAGGATAAATTCATGATTAATCAGAGTTTTTTTTGTTTTTTTTCGAACACGGAAGCATCTTTAAAACTAGAGCAGTTTAGTACGTAGAGTGCATACCTCCCTTCCGTGCTTGAATACAGTACCAACAATACACAGGCCAACGTGTATTTTGGGCGAAACTGCAGCATACCCTCAATGAAATATTGAAATCGCCTGTCGCATCAGGCACACGTTTTCCTTGAGTGCTGCAGCGCACCTTCAAGAAAATAATGGATTCGCCCGCCATATTCAAGCACATTGTTTTGAGTGCCAAGTGCTGCTATTTTATTATTTTCTTTTATGCTCAAGGGTAAAAAATACAATTTCTGTGACCTTTTCTTCCGATAATTGAAACTGTGTCTTTCTTTGATTAATGTTATATAGTATTTCAATAAATTTTGTGAAAATCCATTCACTAGTTTTTGAGTAATCTTGCTAACAGACAGCAGTAAATACATAACCTCCTTGGCGGAGGTAATAAGCCTGGATTGGCAACAGTGCGAGTAGACACTGTGTGTATGCCGAAACCTGGATGTCTTTACAACATTTTTCTAGTTATCTGATGTACTAATTTCGGTAATCCCATCCCTTTATTGCAGCCTTTCCGTCAGATGCCAGTGTTGTACGATGGAGATTTGGTCTGTGCTCAGTCAAATGCTATCTTGAGATATTTAGCCAGAAAATATGGTGAGTTTGACCTGCAGTGGATAACAGTGACCTATTTTCCGCTGTTTAGGGAAATGAGCTAATACAAATGACAAAACCTTTGTTTTAATAAAGTTTTTTTTTTCGCAGATTGCAGTGACACACAAGATTAATTCTAAGTGATTAGAAACTATAACCAGTAAAAAAGAAAAATGTGTATGTCATATGCTGTAGCTAAAAATATAATGCAAGTAAACAATATGACTCCCTGGTTTGGTCTTTTCAGAACTTACAAAAAAAAAAAGATTTAATATCTTCACTGAAATTGTTTTTAATCTGTGGAAATTATTTAGGCTTGTATGGCAGCAACGACCTAGAAGCTTTCAAGATTGATATGTTCAACGATGGCGTTGAGGATCTAAGAGTTACTTATACTAACATGATTTATAGAAACTATGTAAGTTGGGAAGATTTTAATTTAATTTGTACTTGTCTCCTCCTTGTACAAAGCTGTTATTCAGAATAAGTGGCATTTTAAGAAATATATTTTCTCTTCCAATAAGGACATAATCATAATAGCATCATTATTTTTTACATACAGGCCACTTAAGGGGAGATCTGGTTATGTGTGCTTTCTTAATGCATCGAGTTGGGACTTCTGCCTTTAAGTGACCTCTGCCTATTATGTTGTTATCTTGTTTAGTTTTGTCACCACCCAGACTTAATTCATGTAATCACTTGTGCCAACCTTAAAAGTACAGGGTGCTATGTTTCGTCAGATTCACAGGGACGGATAAAGGGGGGGGGGGCATTCCCCCTGACTCCCACGGTGATGTCATCTTGATCGCCTCCTCCCCTTTTGAACATTTCTGGATCTGCTCCTGGATACATGACAGAGCTCAGGTAGTGTAGTTCAAGGTCAAGGAAAAAATGTTTTCCCATCAGTTGAATAAGCTTGGGTTCTTCGTCACCAGATGACACTTAAGTTTGTTAGATTGAAATTCCTAATACTGTACAAGATAAATCTGAGATTACAAACCCTCATCCTGTTGCGCCATAGTTATATACTGAATAAATAATGGCCCGCAGTCGATCCGCTCCATCCGCCAAACAAGTTTTAACATCATAGGTGGGTCAATAATCAGAAAGTGTATAATTTCAGAGAACGGTTCCAAGGGAGATCTAAACAACTTGTCCATGATTCCTAGAAGTGTTTTTATCTTGATACCTATTCCCAGAAATAGAAAATATAGATTGGCACGATGTTTATGAGGAATAAGCTTATATATTAGCTTCTTTTTCCATAAGACTGACTATACATGAGTCTCCGTCACGATATGTCTGCATTATTTATTAGGCTTGTTTTTACAATTTGGGTTATCAATCACAATAGATGTGTATAAGAGACAGGTCTTAAAAAAGGCAATTCCTAATTCTAATTTAATGTTACCATGGATTTGATTTGGATAAATAACATCCATCCGCCCCTGGATACATGACAGAGCTCAGGTAGTGTAGTTCAGGGTCAAGGAAAAAATGTTTTCCCATCAGTTGAATAAGCTTGGGTTCTTAAGTTTGTTAGATTGAAATTCCTAATACTGTACAAGATAAATCTGAGATTACAAACCCTCATCCTGTTGTGCCATAGTTATGTACTGAATAAATAATGGCCTGCAGTCAATCCGCTCCATCCGCCAAACAAGTTTTAGCATCATAGGTGGGTCAATAATCAGAAAGTGTATAATTTCAGACAACGGTTCCAAGGGAGATCTAAACAACTTGTCCATGATTCCTAGAAGTGTTTTTATCTTGATACCTATTCCTGGAAATAGAAGATATAGTTTGGCACGATGTTTATGAGGAATAAGCTTATATATTAGCTTCTTTTTCCACAAGACTGACTGTACATGAGTCAGCTCCATCACGATATGTCTGCACTATTTATTAGGCTTGTTTTTACAATTTGGGTTATCAATCACAATTGATATTCCATGTATAGAAAGTAATGTATCTCTATAAAAACATAATCAAATTACGGTCAATAGTTTTTGTTTGTTACTTTTTTACTTAAATATGAAATCATGTCTCTGCACTAAACTGCAAATTTCACAAAAAAAAAAGTTCTTCACTTAAACGAGTACTTGCCATCAAGATTAACAAAAGTTTGATACATTAATCAAAGGATGATATTTTCTTTTATTTATTTCCATTTATGTTCAAAGGTTACCTTTCCCATGTTGAGTGACCAAATATTCATAAATAGATGTTTATAAAAGGATGTTTGTGTCGTAATTGCGTTATTTAATCATTTCAACACTACATTTCTCAAAATTTTGCAGTACATATAAGGTGATAATGCACTCCGATTAAGTGCCGTGGCTCTTATTCGAGAGCGGCACTTAATGAAAAAAGTAACGTTTGGCCCTGCGATTTACAGAAACTCACTTTTGTAAGTACATGCTACCTGTATATTGTATATCGTATATCAGTCCATAACAAGTTATCAATTCTGAGTTCTAGTGCCCACAAGAACTTGAAAATTAATCACAAATGTGAGGTGTCGCAACGAAATGAGTCTTGTTGTATGCCCAAATCATTCTGAATATTCTGCAAAATGTTAAAAAGTTGTAAAAACTTGAAAATGTGATTTTAGTTATTTCAGAAGGTTCATAGACTCATAAACTAAATTACTTAACTTCCTGTAATTGTTTATTTACAATGAACAACTTTTTATATGCATTTTATGGTGGTATTTTTAAAAAATCAATAGGAAAACACACAGGAATTCAATAACTGTTTTTCTTTAGAATCGATTTTCTTAAAACTGTGGTTTTAGATAATTGAATTTAAAAATAAATTTTCTCTGGTTTAACTAAACCAATGACCTTCATTTAAGAAGTGAAATGAAGCCAAAAAATAGATCTACCATATTATACAAATATCTCACATTTCATTTTCTGTACAACAAGACTGATTTCGTGACGACACTTCACAAATATCCCCTTCAATCAAGAACAACAAATGATTATCATTACAGAAACTAGACATCGGATAACCTATAATTCCACGCTCATCAGCCCATCAATAACCCTAATTACAGGGTCCACTTCTTGGTGTCTATTTGTCACTTTTTTCGGTTCTGGTATCCATGTTAAAATGTCGACATATGAGTACCATAGGAATTCTTCAAACAGAGGCCAAAAGAAACAGTTTCTCCCTATTTTTGCCATGGAACTTACTTCCAACTTCCTCTTCTTGTCCACATCTCTATAATCCTCCCTGGATAAGGCTTTCCATCGTATATCACAACACAAAAGTCATTGACCTTTACATTACTGTGGCTTACTGTAAGAACTGGACGCTCATAAGCAGTGGGCAACTCAATTTCCTTTGGTGTGTTTCCATCTCCTGTTGGCCTGTTTTCTCGATTTTCTCTTCAATCTGACTTCTTAGCGTTGTAACATTGGCAGGTGTCAGAACAGAAGCAGGTCAGGTCACGTCGTTTAACAGTTTCTGGGTCATTAGTGAACACATAATTTGAAAATGGCGTGATGTGTTTTGATTTTTTGCATCAGGACATGAGTTTGTTGCAGACTATATGATACAAGATTCATAAAAATTATGAATAACGTTTATTGAATTTTACAATTGCACTATGCAATTTTATTTAAGACATGTTACAGACTATAAATCCAGAAAACCCAAGGTTAAACGTCCAATATTAGCTTAATGATATGACATGAAACTAGAGACATGGAAATATACACTTTCTGAGTATTGACCCAGGTATCACTTGGCGAGCCCGCCAATCAGGCGAGTTTGCACGCCGTCCGGACCGCTCAAGTCGATTCGGCCTAGCCAAACGGCTCCATCATACAATCCCCTCGATTTGGCTCTGTCAGTCGCAGCTGAAAAATATATAAATAACGTTCTAAAATCTGCATTTTCCAATCAGCACTTAATTCATGGAGGACTGAGATACTGTACATGTAATGTTATCCTTTTTGTAGAGGTGAGGGTAGTGTGTTATTAAAGCACAATTTTGCAATCCTAAACCATCAAATTTTTTCTTTTGGACCTCACCAAAGCCTAGGTGTTTCCTAGGTTCTGACACACATGTTGGAATTGTCCTACCTCCTGTTGGCAAATTTCTGGAGAAAATTGTGGATAATATACTGAATTTAAACAATATTTGTACATTTCTTTTTAATTTTTTACACAGGCTGGCAAAGATGATTTTGTGAATAATACTTGTCCAGTTCAGCTTGAAATTATGGAGGTAAAAAATAAATTAACGTTTATTTCTATTTCCAAAAACACCGCCTCGATGACATCTTCAGATAAAACTAGATATTTTTTCATCAAAATTTAATAAATATAAAGTATTAATTGAACTTTTTACATTACCATATCACATTCATCATACAACAATGTGGTATGACCTATAGCGAGCGACTAAGGTCACTCTTAATCATTTGTTTACCCAGACTCTTGCTCTTTTTTTGTCATTAAAATTTTATTTTATTTTTTTCTAGCCTTGATGATTTTGGTTGAATTGTCAAATTGTGAAATAAGAAAAAAAAAAACACAAATTCAGGCTTGATGAATTAGGTATAAAAATCTTGCCTTATGCGTTGACAGTTTATAACATGAGTATACATTTCTGTTCAAAGTTTGTTTTATTTTTTCCTCAGAATCTCTTTAAAGCTAACAATGGAGGTGGCGCTGGTGGATTTGCTGCAGGGGAAAAGGTGCTTTTGGTGTTTGTGTTTGTATAATATGTTGATGCAGAAAATGACCAAATTTCATCCATTCATTTTGTCTCACTAATGTATTACTTAATGTCTAAAATAACTCTGAAGTTTTCATGTAAACTTTTATGAACCTAATAGTAATATAGTTCCATCATTATAGTAGTTACATACAGTTAAGGTATAGTAAGCCATTATCTGTAAACTATGAAAATACTCAGCACTAGTCTTAACAGGGGAGGGGGTGTAATGAATAGAATAGCAACAATTATGTTTGTCAGACCACACCCCCTCTGCCACATAAACTACGGTATATACTGTGCTGTCCATGCCATGAGTAAGGTTGTTAATTTGTTTTGATCTTAACTTTTGTAGATTTCGTTTACGGATTTCAACTTCTACAATCTTCTGGACATTCTCTTGGTTCTGTCACCCCCCATATTAGACAAGTATCCAGTTCTAAAGGGCTATCATCAACGCATGTCCGCACGTCCAAAAATTGCAGCCAGACAGGCCACAGATGCCTACAAACAGTTGAAGATCAATGGAAATGGAAAACAATAGATGTAGTCGTTTAGGCTTAAAATCTTAATTGGATGACTTAAGCTGGAATAAATTTCAGCCAAATTATGCATGATCTATTTTAATCACAGCATATGTATTGAAATGTTAGATATAGTTTTGTATGTAAATGTGAATTCTGTACACCGCATACTCCTGAAATACATCTTTATCTTGAGATTTGTAAAACTGCTGCAGTCAAATGAATTTTATGATTTTGTGTTCTTGCACGTGCAAGAAGGAATTTATGTAGTTTTAAGTATATACTTGTTTTAGTTTGTGGTTAGGTGTCACACCGTAGTTTTACTTGTTTTTTAGTATACTGCACTTGCGCTGATATTCGCAAAAATATAAATGGAATGTGTTAACTGGTACTGGTACAGGCATTTATAATGCTCTTTTCCTTGAGATAAAGTGCACACAAAGTCCTATTGCTCTGGGAAAAACTTTAGACAGCATGTACTGCATCATTAAACACCCATGGAAATCGCCACAACTATATTGTTAAGGTTAATTTCGTGTGACAGGCATGCCATAACAGTATGAATGTAGTTTTATTAGGGAGTGGGTAATTTTTCATAAGTTTTGACAGATGACCAGTGGATGATAGCACCTTGTCCTATAATGGACTATATTTAGAGTAATTTTTACCCTTTTGAACTTAGGTGTAGCATTGTAAACAAACTATACAGTACTTTGAAAACGCTACATTCTGCAGTATACACATGCTCCATTCCGGAGCTTATTTTTGAAATTTAATATAGAATTTAGGCAGTGGACATATTTCATTTTACAAAAAAATGCTAAATAAGTTAGTTATAAGTAAGTATTTTTTAACTAGAATCAATAATTCACATTGTCTAGAATCTTATAGCTCATTGGGCAGTAATTTAGCCCTACATTGTAAACGGTGGCACCTCTATCAAGGGACTTGTGTCCCCCTACCTCAGCCTCAGACCTCCTACCTCAGTCGGACCAATAACGGGTATACGCTTCCTTTTGAAACATTATGCTGAAACATCTCAGAACACTTTGAAATGATCAAAATTTGCCCAGTTTTTCTAGGCGCCAAAGGGCGAGGGGAAGTAACACTCTGAGCCCCACCATTGGTTCTCCAGATCCACATGCCTTAGTTGGAAGTTTTTAGTCTGACAGTATTGCACCCACCCCCACCCCTGGTCAGGAAAATTCTGGCACGACCAGGTTTACCTTGCCTAAGGGCAGTCACTGTCACCGAGCCTAGCAGTGGTGTATTTACGGGGGTGCACGTCCTTCCAAAAATTACTTGTGTCACCCCCAAAAATCCCGGTCATGTAGTTAAAAATCACAAAATCACCTTATTTTGCGAACTAGCACCCAACTGATCGTCGAGTCCCCCGATCAGCACCCTCTTAAGTCTTCTATATACGCGACTGAAGCCTGGACGTTCTATGTCCCCAAAAACCCGAGCCATATCATTGCACCACCTACTTGCACATCTAAAAGTATTCAATTAGAATAGCAATAAAGATCAGAAAAAAAAAAACGTTTTACTTGTCTTGTGATTTGTTGATTATCAAATATAGAAAGAATAATTTTTTTATTGAAATAACTTTTTTTTTATTGCCAATCCTTAATGTGGACTAAAAGCACAATTTGGGCCATACTAAGCCCTTTGGTTTGAGAACCCCCCCCCCTCCCGATGACGTCGGACCGCGTTGGAAAATTTCAGGAGCCACCGCTGCGTCAATTAAAAGTCATCAACATTAAAACATCAAAATACATAGATAAAATTCATAAATTTACTGTACAATTATAAAACAAAGTAAAGTATAAAATTTTGGACATGCGACCTCCTCTTTTTATTTCTAAATTTTTGGATAATTAATACAAATGAGAAAAAGAAAATAATATTCGAATTCAAGTCTTAACGCTGGCATACACTGAACTATTGATATTTTTTTTCATTTACGGGCGTATATATTGCGTATTCATAACGAGTTGGACGTATAAATAATGTATTAGTAACTTATATGTACTAGGTTTTGATAGGCTGTTCAGACTTGGAGTAAGCCGAAATTACGTTAAGCCCAGCTCAACATGAAACGTAACCAGGAAACAAGTTTCGTACGCTCGTTCAAAGCACACGTAATCGAATGCTGATTAGTCATTTTTTTTCTAATTTACAGCTACCGTATAATGGTGTATTGGCAACATTTAGGAAAACTCGTATAATTTATAAACATTGTTGGGGTGGTTGATACGGAATATAGGGTACTGCGACAATGATATTGATACTGTCTAGCGCGGATATGATTTGAATCGACAAGCAGCGGCCTTTTTACAGGCTTGTCAACGATACGCTGCCATGCCGCGCTGTGCGCAAGGCTTCAAGCCGCTTCTACACTAGGCAAATTTATTCACGTGAATTGAAAGCGTCACTTCACTCTCAGTGAACTCTGATTGGCTGCGCATTTTTTTCGCTTCTCAAAAGTAGAAACAGTTGAAACTACATATAGTAGAGGCTAAATATGGTTTGACCTTAAACAAACTCTAATAAAAGGACTTTTTGCATATTCTTGTACGCCTATATGTAAATAATCATGAAAAAATTTTTGCCGCGTTTTTATAGTAGCGTTGACCAGATATTCAGGGTCAAGGGTCAATGACCTTTATATAACATATTCTAGGTCATAACTCTTCAAAAACTTGCTCTAAAAGCACAAAAATAGTATTTACACCTGGGTTTTTGGGATCAACAATTTTTTGCTGCCTTTTAGTAGTAGCAGCATTGACCAACTATATAGGGTCAAAGGTCAATGACCTTTATACAACTATGATTGTCATAAATCCTCAACCAGTTTGTCTAGATGCACATAAATAGTGGTTTCAACTAGGTTTTTGGGATCAATATTTATTAAAAACATTTTTACCACCTTATTGTATCTGCGTTGACCAAATATTCAGGGTCAAAGGTCAGTGACCTCTATAGAACTGTGATGGTAATAACTCCTAAACCAGTTTGCCTAGATGTACAAAAATAGTGGCTACACCTGGGTGTTTGGGATCAATTTATATAAAAACATTTTTTCACTTTCTAGTAGCTGCGTTGATCAAATATTCAGGGTCAAAGGTCAATTACCGTTATATAACATGATGATTGTGGAAGCGGTTTGGCATTGTGGGATCGGTTTGGTTTCCCAACCTAGAGGTCGGGGTTTCAATCCCTCGCTGTGTATTTCGCTTGTGTCCTTGAGCAAGACACTTTCTCTCCATTGCTTCTCTTCACCCAGGAGTATAAATGGGGACCTGGTGGGGCTACTTGCTCCTGCACTGATTACCAGCAGCAAAACTTAGCATGTAGACCCAATGACCAGGGAAAAAGAACTTCAGCGCTTTGTAACTGAAAAGAAAGGCGCTATACAAATAACAAGTAACAGGTAACGGATGATCATAACTCCTCAACCACTTGGTCTAAAAGCACAAAAAATAGTGTCTCCACAATCCACTCATAAACGAAAAAGTCAGATGCATCTTACATTGCTTTATGGGATACACAATCTGAAAATGGTAATTTAACAATAGGTAAAATGTGATACATGTTTCCACTTGAATTTTTTGTCAATTCACTTAGCCGATTCGTTTATCATTTCGCTCAGTATTCACAGTCTATTTCATGTAGGTCTAATTGTGTCCAAATGCAAAATTTTCCTTTCATAACAGTATGGATGCAGACAAATCAACATCACTATCAATATCATCAAAATAAACTACTTCATCAACATTGTCGCAGCCATCAACCTGGCAAGGGCCACAAGCAGCTGTGCATGGCAGATAGCTTTCTTGCACGAACATCTGCGGTTGCTACAATCTGTCTTGCAATTACATCTTATAGTGTTGAGTAGCTCTTCCGGTGCATGCTTATCTCTTGTCATTATGGGATGCAGACCGTTGTTTTCGTCATTTTTCCATCCCCATTCACATAGGTTAAGGTATTCACCGTATGCCCACAAGTTGATCTGATGGTAAGCTCTGAGGCTGTGGAAGTGCGTCGCTGACTTTGTTGGTGGCAACTGTGGTGGTTGTATAACCTTTGTGGAAGTAGAAACTTTTCGTTTGAATAGTTGATCTCTAAGTTCAGAAAGAGTACCTTGTTTTCCACCAAAAAGTTCCTTCATTACCATTCGCCCATATTCTTCTATTATGGCTTGATTTTGGTCTGATTTCATAAATACTTTTAGCACATTCTTTGAGTACATCAGACTTCTTCAACTTCTGTATGATTGCTTTCTTGCCAACATTTGATATTCTTGAAACCGTATCACATCCAGTAAATGCATGGAGAAAGGGCAATGCTTGACAGATTTCATCAGCCAATGCTTCTTTTAGAATTTTTTTTACCAATACTCAAGAAAACAGGCTTGTGCCAATCTTTCAGATGAAAGAGCAGGAGTACAAGCAAGTCAGTGTCTTCTACTAAAGTTACAGAAGCAGTCTCAGCAATGGCCAGGGTTTTATCAACTATATTTTACATCAGCATCTCCTATGCATTGTGCAACGTTACACATCTGGATTCGGAATTCATCTGATAGGTATGATATGAGTCGTTTCTTATTGCAGTATTACTTAAGAAGACTTCCCTTTCATACTTGCATTCAATATTAAGGCTAAAATTTACTTGGTTATCACCTTTTCTTCTTTTCTCATGGGTGTTACATTTGGTTGAAACGGATTGCTCATACCCATCAAAGACAACATCAGCTCTGCCATATTATAGTGTATTCTGTGTAACTTTGTACTATCTTCTGAAAAGGTACTCCTTTGGGCCATCAATTAAAAATCTGTCAGTCTTTGGTATGTTATTTTCAAATATGAATTTTGCTTCATTCGTGTCTGATACTTTTATCAAATCCCCTCGCTCATTTTCATATACTAAGTCTTCTAACTGCTCTTTATTCGATGTCTTTGAGGAATATGCCTTTAACATTGACATTGCTTCTGCTATCAGTGCTTCCTTCAACTTTGTCTTATCAGCTGTCAGCATTACATGGTTTTTTACAAAGAGGGCTGGTGGATATGGAGTCAGTTCATACTTGAACACATCAGATGTATCAATATCAACAGTCTGCTGTATGATAAGGAACCGCTGAAAGAGCACAGTGGGGTCAATACTTATGTCCTTGTATACTTTTATTTTGTTTGTAGTTCCCATTGTCACTGCTTTCTGGCTTCTCTTAAACTTATGCGAAAATGCGGTTCTTTTATGCATAGCTTTAATAATATCTTTTCCAACACACTGGTATGAGTCCACATTGACTTCCTGGCTTGCAACCTCACCAGTAACAACATTTCTGAGCAATGGATCTGCAGAAAATGGGGAGTATTCTCTTAAAACATCAAGCAGTCGAGAAACATCATCGCAATCTCTCTACAATCGTGCTCTTCCCAATGTTTCATGTTGCACGCTTGTCACCAGATCCACACCTGTGCCCTCCTGCATAGCATGGTTATTGCTGCTCGATGTGGCATTGATTGTGTCCACAAATTCTGCTGTGCTTCTGTCATCCGACTGCCTCTTGTCAGCCCACCTGATGTTTTGAGAGATCTCATTTGTTTGCTCTATGGTAAGATCGGGACTAAGTCCTGCCCAAAAACTATTAGTGCGTCTTATTACATGGAAACCATTTTGAAATCTTTGGTAAAGCTCTGGGTGCTCATCTAGAAGTTTCAGCATCTCTTCAAGGAAGAAGTGGGATGACCTTAGATAATGGAAATTACCGCTTGAGGCTAGAATAGGTAGACTGCCTTTGATGGATTTTAGCAACAAGTTCCAATTGCCAGAACGATCTGCAGCCACCAAATTCCTGACAATTTTTATCATATTCATGTAATTGAGAAAAAGTCGTGGTGTTCTTGATTCAGATCCTAATGATGCTTTCAAGTCATTTAACGATCCTTCGACGTTACATCTCTCTGGAATGTCCTTGATGGTTGCTTCATTTCTTTCAATCTTAGAGTAAATGTTTTCAAGTTCTGTGACATGGTTGCCCTCTTCTAGCATATTCATTAACAAAAGATTCAAGCACTTTTCCATCAGCAGATGACCTCTGAATGCTTTGTTAACTGCTTTTCCAGTAAGCATATGCTGTACCACATTCACACCATATATGGTGGCGAGTATCTCTTTCAAGCTACTGCCTTGCATCAGCTTTCCTATTGCTCCAAGGAGGTCCATGAGGTAGTGAAATCCACCCATCATGACAACTACATTTCAGTTCTGGAGAGTTCAAAGTTATTTCTACTGCTTTCCAGTAGAGTGGCTGGTCAAATGTTACCACTGTATCCTGGCCATATTTCCTCGCAATGGTTGATACATAATGTATTGCTGAAAGTAAACACGATCTGTCACCAGAATACAAGTCAATCATAGGCAAGAAGTGAATTTTAGAAACCCCTGGAAACTTTTCCTGGTTGTGCCCTGTTGCCATGATTCCTAGCCACATGGGCATTGGTCGATTAAACTTAATAACTGAACTCCCATAAAAGA